TTCAGCAAGTATGGATTATGAATTAAGGAAAAATGGATACTCATCCATTTTGCCACATTCCTTCCTCTAGCCAAGTCATCACCAGGCTCTTCCCTAGGGTTCTTCCCACTCCAGAGGGGCCCTGAGGACATAATCAGTGTTAGGGGGAGACCAAAACAGGGGCCACTTTGAGTAACAGCACCCGTGTCCATGTATCTTATTGAAAAACACGCTTTTTCAAACCCCTTCTCTGGCACCTGCTGCAACAAAGAACATTCCCAACTTTCATTCTTAGGGCACTTATTTGAAATGAGCTTATAATTAATATACTGCATTTTCCAAACAGATTGCCTTTACATATTTTCAATAACTAAAAGAGAGATTTTTAAAAAATAACCCCAAAGTAGGCAAAAGCTTTATAAACAGAACACAAAAAGCAAGAGCCATAAAAGAAAAGGAAAATCCACCATTGGACATCATTAAAAATCATCAAAAGATTGCACGAAGATAGTGAAAAGGCAAGCCACACACTGGGAGAAAATATTTGTAATAATACGTGTATCTGACAAAGGACTCCTCTACAGAATAGAAAAGAACTCAAACAGAAAAAAAAAAGCCAACTCAAAATCGGACAAAACATTTTAACAAAAATTTCACAAAAAGATATCAAAATGCCAGTAGGTATATGAAATGGCATCTAACATTAGGCACTAGGAAACATAAATTAAAACCATAAGGACCACCTCACACCCATTAGGATGACTACTATCAAAAGGGAGCGGAGAGGAGGACACAGAAAAGGAAAGAAAAGAGAAAAAAAGAAAAAAACAGAAGAACAGGGGCGCCCGGGTGGCTCAATTGGTTGAGTGTCTAACTCGATTTCAGCCTAGGTCGTGATCTCAGGGTTGTGGGATTGAGCCCCGACTCTGTGCTGGATTTGGGGTGCAGGCTGCCTGGGGCCTAGGGTTCTCTCTCTCTTTCCCCCCCTCTCCCTCCCCCCCAACTCACTCACGTGCATGTACACGCACGGTCTCTCTTAAAAAAAAAAAAAAAAAAAAGGGAAGAAAAGAACAAGTGTTGGCAAGGATGTGGAAAAACCGGAACCCCCTCCACACTTTTGAGAATGAAACATGGTGCCGTAGCTATGGAAAACAGTATGGTGGTTTCTCAAGAAATTTAAATAGAATTACCATATGACCCAGCAGTTCCACTTCCAGGTATGTGCCCCAGAAAACTGAAAGCAGGGTCTCGAAATATCTGTACACCCCTGTTCAGAGCAGCACTATTCACAATAGGCAAAAGGTGGCAGCAACCTAAGTGTCCACCGACAGAAGGACAAGCAAAATTTGGCATATGCATACAGTGTAATATCATTCAGCCTGAAAAAAAATTCTGACAAGTAACACGACACGAGTGAATCTTAAGGACATTGTGCTAAGTACAATAAGCTGATTACAAAAGAACAAGTACTCTGGGATTCTACCCATATGAGGTACTTCAAGTGGTCAAATTCAGAGACAAGGGGCACCCAGGTGGCTCAGTGGTTAAGCGTCTGCCTTCGGCTCATGTCATGATCCCAGGGTCCTGGGATCGAGCCCCGCATTGGGCTCCCTGCTCTGCGGGGAGCCTGCTTCTCCCTCTCCCACTCCCCCTGCTTGTGTTCCCTCTCTCACTGTGTCTCTGTCAAATAAATAAATAAAATCTTTAAAAAAAAAAATTCAGAGACAGAAAATAGAATGGTGGTTGCCAGGGGCTGGGGAAAGAGAAACCAGGGACTTATTGTTTCATGGGCACAGTTTCAGTTCTGCAAGATGAAAACCGTTCTGGAGATGGATGGTGCTGATGGTGGTTACCCAGCATGGTGAATGTGCTTAATGCCACGACTGTACATGCAAAAGTGATTACCGTGGAAAATCTTACGTTATGTGTATTTTACCACAACTAAATTTTTTTGAAATTTTAAAACCCACAGGGAGATACCCATTTGCCCCCCTACCAAAAACGGCTGAAGCTAAAAAGACCCCCAAAACCAAGTGTTAGTGAAAGTACAGATCAAATGGAACTCCTGGGCGCCTGGGTGGCTCAGTCATTAAGCGTCTGCCTTCGGCTCAGGTCATGATCCCAGGGTCCTGGGATCGAGTCCCGCATCAGGCTCCCTGCTCCGCGGGAAGCCTGCTTCTCCCTCTCCCCCTGCCCCTGCTTGTGTTCCCTCTCTCGCTGTGTCTCTCTCTGTCAAATAAATAAATAAAATCTTAAAAATAAATAAATAAACAAACAAATGGAACTCCTTACACCACTGTGGAATTTAAATTGGTACAATCACTTTGGCAGGCTATTTGGCAATTATCTACTAAAGCTAAATAGAAGCCTCCTCTACTACCCTGCAACTCCATTCCTAGGTTATGTGCTCAAGAGAAATGAGTGGGCATGTGCACCAAAAAACGTAAGCAAGAATGTTCCTAGCAAGAATGTTCCTAGCAAGAATGTTCCTAGCAAGAATGTTCAGGGTCACCTGCATGGCTCAGGCGGTTGAGCCTCTGACTCTTGGTTTCAGCTCAGGTCTGATCTCAGGGTCATGAGATCAAGCCCCGCGTCGTCCTCCTCTTCTTCAGCCTCCTAGTCGGCTGGGGGAGATTCCTTCCCCCTCCTTCTCCTCTCCCTCTGCTCCTCTCCCCCGCCCCCGCATGCTCTCTCTCTCTCTCTAATAAATAAAATCTTTAAAAATAAAAAAAGAATGTTCATAGCTGCTTTATTCATATTAGCCACACACTGAAAACAACCAAAACTCCCAACAGAATGGATAAACAAATGTACTATGTCCATACACTGAAACTGCAAATCAACAATAAACTAGAATAAATTACTACTACACACAATAACATGGGTGAATCTCCTAGATATTATGTTAATGTGAAAGACATACACAAGGATCCCTTCTGTAACATACTATTTATATGGAGCTTAACAGGAGACAAAACTAATGGATGGAGTTTTTTAAAATCACAATGTGAAAAACAAAAATCGTAATATGGCTACCTTCATTCAGGTTAGAAGCAGGGTAAAAACTAACCAGAAGGGGAAAGAGGAGAAAATCAGGGGTGGTGGATGTGTTCTCCATCTTGACATGGGTGTACGCACGTGTCAAAATTCACTGAGCAGGACACGTTGGAATAATGCATTTTACACTTTATTGTATGGATGCCATACCTCATAAAACAAAATATCTCTACAGCCCTTCATGTCTCTACAATGAGATTGTTAGGATTCAAAAACAGAATAAAACCTCAACTTGTTGCTCTCTTCCTTTCTGCCCTAGAAGATTAGACCCTATTCCTATTAGAAGCGTTAGAGAGGGGCGCCTGGGTGGCTCAGTGGTTAAGCGTCTGCCTTCGGCTCAGGTCATGATCCTAGGGTCCTGGGATCGAGCCCCGCATCGGGCTCCCTGCTCGGTGGGGGGCCTGCTTCTCTCTCTCCCACTCCCCCTGCTTGTGTTCCCTCTCTCACTGTGTCTCTCTCTGTCAAATCAATAAATAAAATCTTTAAAAAAAAAAAAAAAAGAAGAAGCGTTAGAGAGATGATTAGTTACTTCCCAGGCTCCGGAGTCAGATAAGGAATCTAAGTCCCACGCAGTGCAATTACGTGCTCCTAAATGTCCACGAGCTTTCCTGAAGCCACTCCCTATCCCTGGGGTCTTTACAGTAAGAACCTCTCAGTCCTTAGTGTAGTCTATACTTTCTGAGTCAGAGCTCCCAATTTGCCTTCTACTGGTTAAGAGTCCAATTTGGCCATTTTAAGCTTCGGGAACAGCATCTGACTTTGTTTTACATCCTCACTGGCAGGGGCTAATTAAATCCCTCTTCGGCCGTAAAGGCAGAATGTCAAAAATCACAAGATATCACCACATTCCGGCATTATGATGAATGCATACACCCCTAGGAAAGAGAAGGCTTCATTCTCTTCAACAGCCATTTTGATGCCTGTCCCTTAACAGTCAATATAGTAATAACTTTAGCTTCCTTCTGAGAGCATCATGAGCCATGGCCCACCATTCTCAGAAGATAAAAATCCAGGGGCGCCTGGGTGGCTCAGTCGTTAAGCGTCTGCCTTCGGCTCAGGTCATGATCCCAGGGTCCTGGGATCGAGCCCCGCATCGGGCTCCCTGCTCTGCGGGAAGCCTGCTTCTCCCTCCCCCACCCCCCTGCTTGTGTTCCCTCTCTAGCTGTATCTCTCTCTGTCAAATAAATAAAATCTTTAAAAAAAAAAAAAGATAAAAATCCACAGAGATGGAACCCCCCACCCCCCTTCTTCTACCATTCATAACACTGTGCTACCCAGCTATTGGAAAAGGGCCTTAATAGGCAAAACTTTGTATTTCAATGATCCTCAAAGGCAAATTCTTTTAAACTGCGTCAAAATGAAAAATGGTCTCAATTTGATTGTCTTTGATCCCATATGAAACCTGCCATTAATTTAGTAAAATGGGTGAATTATGAAGGTACGTCGTGTATGTTCAGCTTGGTAGAAGAAAACGGACAAGATGGTTAAAAAAAAAAAAAAGGCTGGTTTAAAAGAAGCAGCCTAATGCATCCATATTCTGACAAGTGGTATGCTAAGTCAACAGTGAGAGGTAGTTTTTGTCAAAAGCAGATGCGGTTATGTCGGCTCAACAGGGTGACTTGTTAAGTGTGTCCCAAATGAAATTATTCCCCCAAATTGGCCGTTTTATACAGTTTCGTTAAGTGTTTTTCAAAGCAAGTATCAAACAACAACTGGTTAAATGTTAAATGCAAAGCCACACGGTCACAACAGAAAAGCAATGCTTCTTTTAGGAGAGTAAAAAGTAATGCAATAGAACGACATGCAGGATTTTATTTAAATACATTGTCTAGAATAGAATAAGCCATTTTCTCCTTGCACAATACCTCAAAATAGGTTTCACTTCGTAAGAGTCTATATAAATGTCAAGATACTGGAATGCAGTAATTATAAAGCCGGCTAGGTGTATTAATTGTTCTACATACCTGTGGTTTTTCTGATTCCTGTACTAGCTTACTCATGTATATTCACTCTTATTTTTCAGAAGCCACTTTGGAAAGCTCCCGTTTTTGGCTTCCACACTGCCACCTGTAGACATAAAAAAGAAATAAGCCTTATGTATTATTCATCAACCACGCATCTTTTCTAGGCAACTAACAGGGACAATTGGAAAACAAGTAGCAAAATATTTGCTCCAAGAGATAAAAGTGTTCTTTCTCCTCTGTGGAAAATTTCTAAGGAGTCCCTCTCCCCCAATGGTTTGGTAAATTACTCAGATATCGAAACATGCATTAAGTCTCAGATCAACACCACTCTCTGATCAGTTCATTAAAGAACGAGATGGAGTCACAGAACTCATCCACATGCCAATCTACAACCATTTCAAGATCTGCCATTTCAAATCAGAAGACAACTTAACCACTCTGTTAATTGGGTAATTAAGAATTCCGTAAATTACCACAAAGAAGAAAAAAAATGAGGGAGAGATCCAAGCAAAGGGTACTTTCTCACACGGTCATAAAATGTAAAATGTCTCTTTAGAATAATAATATCAATTCTAAAATGAACTGGTGCTTTCTCCGTTCTAAACAGCAGTTAGGTGGGGTTATTTTCATAATGCCCTACTCCCATTTTGAATGTGAATGTAGAGTGCTGAAAGGTCTTTCAGACACCCCACAGATTTCAATACAGGTAGGTCTTTTTTTCTTTAAAAAAAAAAAAGTCAGATGAATCAAAATCTATGAGCAGAACAAGCAATAAATAAAAATCCACAAACTATCAGTTAGTCAAAGGAGCCATGAGATGTGAGGGATATGTGTGTGCCCGCGCGTGTGATGAGAGTCAGAGACAGACACACAGATTCTAGAGTTAATTGAGAATAACAGACCAAACCAGGGTGTGTTTTGTGTAAGAGAGAACAGAGAGACAAAGATTATCTCGGGTTAATTGAGACTAACAGACCAAACCTGTGTGTGTGTGTGTGTGTGTGTGTGTGTGTGTGTGTGTGTGTGTGAGAGAGAGAGAGAGATACAGATTCTAGAGTTAATTGAGAATAACACACTGCGCCGCGTGTGTGTGTGTGTAAGAGAGACAGAGAGATACAGATTCTAGAGTTAATTGAGAATAACACACCGCGCCGCGCAGCTCTTTACCTCCTCGGAGTCCCACAGTCCACCGAGAACAAGTGCCCCAGCTCCAGCACCTTAAGCCAAAGACGCAAGCACCACCCCCACCCCCACCCCCACCCCCAGCTCCACCCCCACCCGCTAGGCGAGCTAGCGCCAGGAGCCACCCAGCCAGTATGCCCGCCGAATCCGCAAACCCTGCGGACTTTTTTTTTTTTTTTGGCCCCATCAGAGATCCGTTCCCCACTTACCTGCAATTTACTTTAACGCCCCGAAAGTCTGGCTCGCTTGAAAGAATTGCAGCCAATCCAAGAAAATCACGTCTCCTGGAGCCACTCTCCTCCTTCTCCCTAGGACGGACATTCACCCACACTCACACTCCCTTCCTTCCCGACCCCGAACACGCGCTGGGCCATCCCAAGAGGCTCGTTGGGGGCCCGCCAGCGACCAGTCCTGCTCCCACGTGCCTCCATTAAACCCTCGTCCAAACGTGCACAAGGCGCCAAGTGCATGTGCACCGTCCGCCTTCAGAGATAAGTTCGGCAAACCCCATCCCACCCTCCCCCCCACCCCACTCCGGCCCCCGAAAGCGCGAGCGAGCGCGCGGGCTCAGGCACCCGCCCGGCAGACAATACTCCAGCAACTCCTGCCTTCCCCGCACACGCCCCGGCTGGTCCTGCCACCACTCTCGTTTCCCCAGGTTTCTACAGTCCCGAGGGCCCCGAGCAGGGGGCCTCCGGATGGTTGCTGGGTGTAGACTGCGAAGAGAGGAGCGACCTGCGCGCACCACCGAGATGGGGGGGGGGGGGCGGTCGCAGTCCTCCGCAGCCACTCCGGGGCTCGGCTCTCGAGGAGGGGGTGGGGGTGGGGACTGTGAGACCCGAGGGGGAGAATCCCCAGGGAGGCAGCCTCTCCGCACCTCTTCCCCACGTAGCACAGCGCGCGCGCACAAGCGGGCACACCAAGGGGCCGTGCACCTTCCCGCTGCCCCCGGACCTGCCCGGTCCTCGTCCCCGAGCGTGGTGGCCTGGACGCCAAGGCGTCCGGCCTGCGGCGGCCCTGGAGGGGGCAAGAGCGCCGCGCTCAGGGGTGCCCACCTGCGCGCAGGGTAGCCGAGGCGGCCGGTGAGCCGCCCGCTGCGCCGTGTCCGCTGCAGGAGGAGGTGTAGGCGGCCTGAGCCCCGGACTCCAAACGTCTCCTCGCTGCCCAGCCGTGCGGTCCTCGCTTCCTTTCCTCCCTGAGGGTGAGCCTCCCACCTTAGCCCGCAGGTTCTGCCACCGTCCCTCTGCCCGCCGGAGCCTGAGCTGTCCTCCCCGCCCCTTTCCCGCCGCCCCGCGCAGCGCCGCGCTCCGCCCCCCGCCCTCCCCTCCCCGCCCGGGCCCAGCCGGGGGCTGCGGGCTCCGGGCCTCGTGTCGCAGCTTCCCACACCCGGGCGGTGGGGGGTGGAGGGGTTCCGCCTAGACCCCGCGCTCCTGACCCGCTCCCCTCTCCCGCGCCAGCGGCGGCCACCCGCGCTCACCCCGCGGTCAAGGGTGTGGGCACCGCGCGCGCTCTGCCCTCGCTCTTCCGGCGTCTCCACTCCCCGCAAGGCACCTTCCACGGGCCCGAAGGGTGCCTCGTTTCTTGGGGGGGAAGGGGGTTGGTGAAGCGGGGTGGAGTGAGCAAAAGAGAGAAGGCAAAGAAATTAGCATGTCAACTGCCAGGGGATACAAGTTGCTGCCTGTGCCTTGTTTCTGTTACATTAAATACCTGGATGTGCTGCTTTCCTTGTTACGACCGCAGCAATATTCAGAGGCATGAATATCAGATTTCCAAGCTAATTGGTTGTAGGGGCTTTTTAAAAATTTAATGATGCAGAAGACAACCGATTCACTCTTTTTAAAAAGTTACTTAATATATGTGGCCACATTTCTAATTTTAAGTAATAGCAAAATATAAATAACAGAACAGCTGTGTTTTACAGAAACAGATCCAGTTTGTATGTGTTATTTAAGCCCTCCGTAATTATATTAATTGGGTTCGTTTTAAAGTGTACTTTAGGTATTTCTTAAGAAAATGAGCTCAGAATTTAGGGATTAGGAATCCATAATTTATAATTTGGCTTTTTGCCATTATTCTAAAATGTCAATTTCATGGAAATTATTAAATGTGGTTATGTAGAAAAATGGATCCTTTTTCTCCCGAGTTGGCAACATTCTTAGATTTGGCAAAGGACGGATTTTTTTTTTTTAAACGAAGAAATAATAAAATTCTCATTCATTTTCTAGGGATGGGATATCTGGTTTAGCAGCTTTTTCTTTAGTGTTTCTCTCTTTGAGGCAAAGTTCCTTTCTGCTTCCTCTTATATTTGTTTTGTTCAAAATTTTCCCCCTAAATATAAATAAAGCTATAGATACCATGATTTTTGAGCCTTTGTTTTCCTGAAGGGATAGGGAAATGAATTATAATCAATTATCAAAGTCAACTCCAGGCTCCTGATACTAAGTTTCACACTGATTAACCCTGTTTTTCGACTGCTTTTAGTAATTTAACCTAACACTTGAGAACCAAGAGTGGTTTTTTTTTTTTTAAATTCCATCCCTAGAAGAATGAAATGCACACTTTTTAATTAACATTTTGAACGAAAATTAAATTGACTAATGAAAAGCGTATTCGTAGTGCATTTGTTGCTGGGTAAATGAGGACAACGTGGATGATAAACAGCATTCTGAAGAAGAGGCTCTGAAGCAAAGAAAACAGTCTTTAGAAAAACTGATGATCCCCTTTTCAAGGCAAGGATAACAAATACCAGTAATTATGCAAAGAAGGACTGCTGCCTCTCTTCTCTCTGCTTTGGTTTTGTGGCTGGGCCTGCATTTATCTCTTTTGATCATCATAATAAAAGTAAAGTAATTCAGCATTCCGGTGACATTGCTTAGTAAATTAGCAATTTGAAAATGCTTTTATTACCTAATTAATCCAAGTAAATGCCTCCGATAAATCCGATTTTACTCTTACATCTTTTTTTTTTTTTTTTTTTTTTGGTGCCTCCGGAGAAACACTTTGTGTGAAATAAAAACAGCTAAGGGTAGCTCAAGAACAATGGCCAGCCAGACTCTTTTGGAGCATGTGTGTTGCAATAGAGTTGATATTACGTGACCTTTGGGTCTTCAATGATATATCAGATATTGGTTATGAATTGCTCATCGGCTACTTGTTTAATGAGTTCCAGTGTGTTTGTTCTGCCTTGCCCATTCCCCAGAAGCATATTTTATTTCTTTGTGTCTGCCTTACTGAATCTACCTTGGCCTAAACTATGTTCATTGAACTTCCACCAAAGAATCAGATCCTAATCCATAGCTCACTTGACAAGCATCTTTGTCCTTCAAGTGAAGTTTCCCTTGAGGTCTTCGGTAAAAATCCAGCATGATTAACCATCCAAAATTGGAAAAAGTACTTCGTCAAGCACGGTTCTGACTAAGAGATAACAATCAGATTTCTCAAAACCAGGAGGGTGTGTCCCATTTGAATAAAAAGAAGAAACAAAACTGGCAAATCCGTTTTGTTCAGGTCAAAAACTAAGCCAACAAAATCACAATCCGGATCCTTTCTAAGCCTGAATTATGCTAAGAGATATATAAAAAGCACAATCCAAATAACTTCATCTGTATTTTCTTTCACCACTGCAAATCCCTTGCTCCACTGACCAAATACCATTACATTTCACGTTTCCCTTTTAGTTCCCATGCTATTGAGAATTTTTCACTAATCTTTAAATAAGAAAGTTTAACCAGACACTCCTGCTGTCTCCAAGGCATCCTGTGTCACCCTCCATTTGTTTTCAAAAGTTTTTTTTGAAATGTCCATGCCATTGATAGGGACGGATCTGAACATCCCATGTGGACCCATGGAGAGAGAGTTCCGATGACCAGTCCAAATTCAAAACAGTGAGCTTGAAACAAAACAGGAGTTTGTTGTAACAGCTTAATCCTTTCTGATCCTTACCCCAGCACAGAGTTCTGGAACACACCAGCTTACCCCTCTTGAGCAATTTTCTCCTGATAATTATTTTAACAAATTTTTTGGTCATTTACTCTTTGGGCTGTGTTATAACTCACAGGGAGCCGAACATATTATGCATAGTCTTCTCTCCTTTCTTTTCTGTGATAACTGAGGATTGGAGATCATTTATGGGGTAAGGGTAGATGATAGGATAGCCGTTTTGCCAGAGTCTCCTTTTCTGGCTCTAAGAAAAGCATGAACTGAGTTTCTCCACTTTGGTTGATTGGGATTAGTGAGCAGCATCATTGATTCAAATTTGCAGAATACCAGACTATAATTGGTCTCCTGGTGCTAGGAAACTATGTCACCAATTATCACACAAGACAATGACAGAGACAATAGTACCCATATAATGCTCAGATTGAAATGTTGATGCTCTAAGCTAAGTTACTTAAAATGTGTGTGTGTGTGGGGGGGGGGTATATGTATAATTCAAAGCTAAATATAAACCTGAATACTTACAATAGATCCTTCAGTTATGAAACTCTTGGTAAGCTCTCTTACGGTTTGGGGGTATGTGATAAACTAAGGAGTATTTCAATATTTCCCTTACTCACAGGAATATACCTTTTTTTGAAACTTTATTAATTTATTTTAAGTAATCTCTGCACCCAACATGGGGCTCAAACTCATAACCCTGAGATCAAGAGTCCCATGCACTTCTGACTGAGCCAACCAGGTGTCCCCAAGAGTAACTTTTTCTGATCCAGATCTTCCCATAAATTTCCCAGCACCAAATATTTAACCATATCATTCCATGATGGATGGAAGGAAGGAAGGAAGGAAGGAAGGAAGGAAGGAAGGAAGGAAGGAAGGAAGGAAGGGTTCAGCCAGTGTGATAGATCTGGTAAATACATGTATGACTCAGTAGCACAACTGAGAAGCATACCAGATTAGTCAGATCATGGTTCGCTCCCCCGAGGACCATTTTGTTTTGGTCTGTTTCATGGCTGCCGATCAAAACCTTATTCCTCAACATAGACAAACATTGTTGGCCACTAGATGTTGTGGGTGGAATTGTGTCCCCAAAAAAGAGATGTTGAAGTCCTAACCCATGATACCTGTGAATGTGACCTTATTTGAAAATAAGGTCTTTACAGATGTATTTAAGATGTAAATTGAGATGAAGTCATAGTGAAGTAGGGTGCGCCCTTATTCCGATATGACTGGTGTTTTTGCTGGAAGAGACACAGACACAGAGAGAAGTCAGCCATGTGAAGATGAAGGCAGAGGTGGGACAGAGTGAGGTTGTCACAAACCGAGCAACACCTGGGACTACCCAAAATGGAAAGAGACAGAGAAAGGATCCTTCCTCAGAGGCCCGGCTGATGCTTTGATTGTGGACTTTTAGCCCCCAGGACCATGAAACAATAAATTTCGGTTGTTTCAGCCAACCATTGTGTGGTACTTTGTTACCACAGCCCTAGAAAACCAATATACCAGGGAATCATCAACTCCTGGTGATGCCAGCCTCTAATCTCTCATATCCAGCACAGAGTAAATGTTTACTTGTAAAATGTTTAAGAATGATAGGCAGAGGGGCTCCTGGGTGGCTCAGTCAATGAAGCATCGGCCTTTGGCTCAGGTCATGATCTCAGGGTCCTGGGATCAGCCCCGCATCAGGCTCCCTGCTCGGCGGGAAGCCTGCTTCTCCCTCTGCCCTTCCCCCTGCTTGTGTTCCCTCTCTGGCTGTCTCTCTCTCTGTCAAATAAATAAATAAAATATTTTAAAAAAATGATAGGCGGAGTCATCTCTGTACATGAAAGACAACAGCAGGGTGGAATCATCCAGGAATTGGAAGGAATCTTGAGCATTTATCTAATCTCATGGCTCCCCCAAGATGGGACTTGGCCACAACTAAGAATCATAGTCACAGAATCTTAACGTGTCTAAAGACGGTTGGAGATTTTTCTCTTCCTCTGAGGTTACGTGATACCTAGGTGGCATGACTTAAAAATGTGCAGGATGGGGTCCTCTGCACACATTGCACCCCCAACACCCCACAGGCCCCACTGATTCAATCCTACCTCCAGTTGTTGGGTTATAATAGCTTCCTCCCTTTGTGTTACAGCGTTTGGTCTTCAGTAATCCCAAATTAAAATGTAAATGAGTCTGGAAGACTTCCCAGCCTGAACTCATGTCGGTTCCCAACTTGTATGTTTATCAGTTCATCATTCTATCCCCCCCTCCTTTGCCTAGTAGAATGCTGAGCTCATAGAGTATCCTCCATAAATATTTG